CATTCAATTCAACAATTATATTCAACATGGAATTCATTCAATTCAACAATTATATTCAACATGAAATATCAAATCGATTCAGGCTGTTTTCAGTTAATGTTAAGGAATAGGACCCAAATTCGAAATATTTTTCCTGATATTAAAGTGCTCAAACATTAATATTATATTCTGGCTTCCCTATCCAGTAGATAATCACTTGTTTTTTCATACTACTCATTTTTATCCTAGTAGACACATTTTTTTCTTTTATAAAATGTGTTTTTCGCATGTTTTCTCCTATACCATAATGCTAAATGAGCTATCCTTTTATATGTTAAAAGAAGGAAACCCTAATAATATGTGAAATATTTTGAAATTTTAAAAACACTATATTATAAACAAATGCACGAGTTACAATGTGACAATTTTTTTATAAAAATTGAGGCATTTTTCTGTACAAAAATGTGCTCCACTTTAAGGTATTCGGATACGTTCGGAACCGTGATTTTGCAAAAGCGTACATATGGGTAATATTTATGATATTTAGTGTCACTTAGATTACAAAATGTATATAAACTTGTTTTAAGAATAATATTACAATAAAAAATTATTTAAGTACAATATTTTGACAAAAAAATGAACATAAAATGACCCATTTTGAAAATATTCTCCTTTTGTGAAAATTGTTCCTATTATAATAATATTCTGCCTGTATATAGCTCAGATATCTGTACAGAGGCTCAACTAGAATTTTTGAAATATATAACTTGGAAGTGGGTTTATCCATGTTTTACGACAACAGAGGGGAGAAACTTTAAGGAAAAAAACGCCGATAGTTATTTCAATTGGCTGTAGCTCTGAAAGTAGTGTGAATTTTTCACAAATCATAATATAGCCTCTGTACAGAGGCCTGAGCTATATATAGGCAAAATATTATTATAATAGAAGCATGTTTCACAAAAGGAGAACATTTTGAAAAAAGGTTATTTTAAGTTAAATTTTTGCCGAAATACTGTATTTAAATAAATTTTTTGTCAAAATGTCCTTAAAACAATTTTATACATGTATTCTAATCTAAGTGACACTAAATACCATGAAAATTATCCATTTATGCGCTTTTTTAATATCACGGTTCCGAACGTAGTCGGATACCTTAAGTAAATGCTCTTGTGCATATGGCGAAAACAGCCTTCACAACAATAATGTTCACCATTTAATCAAAAGTTGAAAATAAATTTAAATTTAGATTCCATGTTTTACTTAAATTCCATGATTGATTGAAATTTTGAATTTTCTATTCGATACAAGTGCATTACATATTCAGTTAGCTGTAATAAACTTCTAAAAGCTCTATATCTTCATATATAGAAAAATACACATGACTAAACATATCTTTGACATCAATTTGATTCTTCTGAATTTAGACTTGGTAATAATAATTACCATTATTAGTTAATTTATGACATTGAGAAATAATTGAAGTTATACTTCTTTTGGGGCGTTAGAAAAATTGGATGAGGATAAATTTTTAAGATGCGCGCGCAAACCGTCACGGATGAGACGCAAAACCGCCACGGATGGGAAATTGTTTCGCTTAGAAATATACGGAACGAGACAGATCATTGCCACCATCAAAATTCTCATTAAATTATTTCTATTCACTTCCCTGGAGAAGGGGCCACCTTGGTTTGAACTAGGAACCGCTCGATCCGCAGTCGAATACCGTACCAAAGAGCTGTACTCCCGCGTCAGCTAACCTTTGCTTTGTGTTCCGTAGTACGGATACGAAAATGCTTTGATTATAAATATACAAAACGGGACAGATCATTCCCGCCTTCGAAATTCTAAAAAATATATATATATATATATATATATTTCTCTTCACTTTCCCGAAGAAGAGGACACCTGAGTTTGAACCGAGAACCTCTCGATCTGTAGTTGAATGCTCAACCACTGAGCTAATAGACCCGCGTAATCAAACCTTTGCTCTGCGTTCCTTAGGAACGAATACGAAAATGCTTTGATTATAAATATACAAAACGGGACACATCATTCCCGCCATCGAAATTCTCAAAAAAGTATTTCTCTTCACTTCCCTGAAGAAGGGAGGGGGCACCTTGGTTTGAATCAAGAACCGATCGATTAGCAATCGAATGCTGTACCACTGAACTATACCCCCCGTGACAGAGAACCTTTGCTTTGCGCTGATTTGTGACGTCACTACTAGTAGGTAGAGCTCGTCCCTTGCCTACGAAGCTTCTCTGATGCATTTGTTTTGAACACTTTTTTTATTAAACCAAACATACTTAAAGGAAATTAAAAAAAAAATAGTAAATTATAATCTTTAAATTGTGCTTCATGTACATAAAATATAAGAGTAAATATTAGTTGACTTATTTAAAGAACAATTGCAAGTGTAGGATTATAGATGTATTTACTAAGAACGCATTGTGTGATGAACATAAACACATTTATTAAATTGTAGCAAATTATAAGAGTCCTTTTATTCGTATATTTATTTTTGAAGTTATCTTTTTTTTTTTTTTTTTTGTCGTTAGGGAAAAATAATAAGGGTAAATTTTTACGATGCACGCGCACACCGTCACGGATGCGCGCATACCTTCACGACACCTATGCGCGCGCGCACACCGTTGTCTAATATTTTAACATGTCACTTTTTTTGGTGCTATCAGACTGATGTTTGGGGGATCGTAATAACTTTTGTTATAAGCCATATCTGTTGGAACGCATCCCCCCTGAGCATTCCCCCTTTACAGCTTTTTGGCCATTATCTCGGCACCCGGGCCTCACAGTCCATTAGGGCCTCGGTCACTCAAGCTCTCTCTACCTGCGTTTCCAGTTATTATAATTTCATGCACATAGGGCTATTTTTCTATAGCTTTTAATTGTCTTAAACTTTATAAATTTGTTTAAATTCACAATATCTTGGCTCCTGTTCGAATCCCGGACTTGAGATTTGAACCAAGTTTTCCACTCGTCGAGACTCTTCCAGTCATCTGCTTCCTTCCCATTGTGTAGGCCTGTGGAGGGCTTTAACACTAAAATATCATGCTCCCTTGTTAATCCTATAGAGACTGGAAAAAATTTCACTTCCCTAAGGAATTGAGTTTGGGACTTGATTTTTGGAAGCCCGGCATATTTTCTTTTTAGCGCGAGCTTTATGTGGAATTGGTGCTCTTCCCTCTACAGGGCTTCCCCAGAAATAACTCGAATCCTATATCACCTTGTCGACCGCACCTACTGGATTCGTTTGTTCTTCCTATGAGCATCCTAGACAAATTTTTTCAGGATCATAGCCCCATTTCTTTACCCACATATTTAACATTTTTAAATTATTTTTAAGTTATAATTTTTTTAAATCCCGCATAGCTTCGAGAATTTTCGTTAAAGAAACTCGAACTATAGGTTCTTTTCGTTGAGCTGTTTCATCTGTTACAATTCGTGTGTAGATAATGGGCTTAGGAGCTTAGGGGGTGGGCGTTATCACTAAAATTAGAATCCCCATGTTTTTCTTATGGGGTTCGATCTTTTGATAACGTCACGATATTACAGAGATAGAAGGATGAAACTTTGGGATCACCTACTACTCTGTACATCGTTGGGATGTACGAGACCATTTACGTCATAGGTGTTC